TTTTTTTTCTGCGTACAAAAGGTTGCCTTCAAATAAATGTGTAGGCACGATTACAGAGAAATTGAACAATTAATTTTCAAATTTTCATAAGCCTGTCATGAAAATGAAATACCATACCTGGAATACCTAGCACATTTCCAAACTAAAGATTTCGAAGGATCCTCAAATCCCAGTGCAATGTTCTCCGATTTACCCAACGGTAAAGTGTAGTTACGAAATAATCTCAGTTTTGGCGGATTCGTTCGTACAGACGTTGCGGTCACCACAACCCTAAAGAAACCGTTTCACAAACGCTTTATCAAAACTAATAATATTTGTTTTCACAGGACGAAAAAAATGACCATACCTCTTCGGACCCAACTGCGCCATGGTTGTTTTTTTGCCAAAATGTATTCGCAGGAATTCTTCAATTACCTTCTCGGAATATGGTTTTCGGCCAACAAAAATTTCATCCTTCATCCTCAAATATAGGCTCTGACAATCTCGCAACGAATCTCCTGCAAAAATTACCATTTGGCAAACTGAAAAGTCCTTTTTATGCGTTTTTGCATTTGCACATGTGACGACCCGGTGTGTGTGTGTGTGTGTGTGTGTATGTGGTGTGCGTGCGCCTGTCCGAATATTTCAACTCGGAAACCAAGCAAGCTCTGGCGCCAAAATTTTGCCAGTGGGTTCCACAACGAAATGTCACCGCAGGACCGCGGTACCAATCCTCATGCGCATCTAGGCTCTGGTAAGGGCGCGTGAAAGTTTTCTGCGGAAAATCGCTAATTCGGGAACCGGGAGGTGGAAGGTTGAAATTTGAGGGGATGTTCTCCGATCAAGTACCGCGTAACTGCACAATTAACTTCCTGAACTTCGAGGACCAGGGTGCTATAAATTCTAGCTAGTGATCTTACAACAACATGAAATACTGCAAAAATGCATGATCGCACGGTTACCAGTGATTTTGCTGTATGCTCTACCGTTCCTTATAATGTAATGCTTTTTCGTCAACAGTGTATTTAATAAAAGCTAGATTTAAGTCCTCATTTCGTAAGTCCTCATTCCGTTCCACTAAATTACTGTTCTCACAAAGATAGTAATACTTCGGTGTCAAATGTTCTGCGTCTGTCCGGACGATTCAATCGACTGTGTAAGTTTACCGCAATTTCAACTAGAAACATCTGTCCAGTAATCGGAGATATATTTTTCCACATGCCAAAAGGGAAACAACAACCAAATAACCAAAG